ATGGGTGGCCCTGCCCGGGTGGCACCGGGAGCAGGGAGGTGCCCGCAGCAGGTGCCACCCTGGGCACTTCCATTGTCCCCAGGCACGGCAGCTCGTGGTGCCAGCCCCGGCAGGGCACGGCTCCTGCTCGGCCAGGGCCTGCCGTGCCCAGCTCAGTGAGCCCCGGGTCTGCTGTGGGGTCAGGAGCTGCTCTGCCACCCCCCGATCCCAGCGAGGGCTGTGGCACAGCCTGGGAGCCTCCTGCAGGGAGACCCCCGGGCTGCAGGGTCCTGCCAGGGAATCATCCCACAGCCCCGGGGAAGGTCCTGCAGGACATCCCAGAGCCCCGGGGAAGGTCCTGCAGGACATCCCAGACCCCGGGGAAGGTCCTGCAGGACATCCCAGACCCCGGGGAAGGTCCTGCAGCTCCACATTCCCGTCAGGAACAGGACAGGTGACCCAGGGCTTGGCTTCCAGCCCCGCGGGCAGCCCTGGGCGTCTCCGTCTGGCCGGGTGGGAGGGGAGGTGGCAACTCCCAGGCCGGGTTAGTCACCCCCACACGGCAGCAACCGAGGCCAGGACCTCCCAAAAGCTGTCGGGGCACTGCCACACCCTTCAGACCAAAGGCAGGATCAAAAAAACCCAAATTCCTTCTGCTGGGAAAGGCGGAGAGCCACGAGCTCCCCTCACTTTGCGTGGGGCTGCATCGCTCCCAAACCATCCCGCTGCAGGGCAGAGCACCCCGGAGCCCATCGAGACGGGAAATCATCAGGAGGAGCACCCAGAGACCATCCAGCCTCTCTCCAGCTGGGAAATCACCGGGAAGAGCACCCCGGAGCTCATCCAGCTAGAAAATCACTGGAAGGAGCACCCCAGAGCCCATCCAGCCAGGAAATCACTGGAATGAGCACCCCGGAGCCCATCCAGCACCTCTCCAGCCGAGAAGTCATCGTGAGGAGCACCCTGGAGCCCATCCAGGCCCTCTCCAGCCAGCAAATGACCGGGAAGCCCCCGGGCAGCTCGGTGCCAGCTCACCTTGTGGCAGTAGTAGACGGCGGACACGACCTGGCGGAAGAAGTGTCGCGCCTCCTGCTCCGAGAGCCGCTGCCGCTCGCTGATGTACTCGTACAGGTCGCCCTTGCTGGCGTATTCCATCACGATGACGATCTTGGCGCTGTTCTCGAACACTGCGGGGCACCGGAAAGGGTTAAAAGGGATCCTCGGAATTGCGGGAATTCTCGTTAGGAGGCTCCTGTTAATGAGCCTCGATTGACCCGAACCTGCCCGTCCCAATTCCGGTGTCACTCCTGGGCTAAGCAGGGACCTGCAGGGCGGGAGGGTCCCCAGAGGTGTCACCAACCCGCCCCGCAAAGTGCCACCAGGGCTGCTGGCCTCCAGCTGTGCCACCACCGGGGCTGTGCCACCACCGGGGCTGTGCCACCATCGAGGGTGTGCCACCATCGAGGGTGTGCCACCACCAGCGGTGCTACCACTGAGGCTGTGCCACCACCGTCTCTGCCACCACTGGGGCTGTGCTGTCACCAGAGCTGTGCCACCACCAGTTCTGCCATCACTGAGGCTGTGCCACCACGGAGGCTGCGCCACCACTGGGGCTCTGCCACCACCGGGGCTCTGCCACCACTGAGGCTGTGCCACCACTGGGGCTCTGCCACCACCGGGGCTCTGCCACCACTGAGGCTGTGCCACCTCCAAAGTGCCACCCTTGAGGCTGTG